GAAGGTCCTGCGTGGTCGCCGCTCTTATTTTCATCCATTCCAGCGCGTTAGCGTGCGCTTCTGCCAACGTGTCCCTCGGTAAGGGAGGGATCTCCTGGATCTGCGGTACCTGAGGTATTTGAGGTATCTGAGGCACCTGAGGGGCCTGCGCGATCTGAGGTATCTGCGGAATTTCTTGAGGTTGAGGGATTTCCGGGGCGCTCAACACTCCCGGCCTGATTAAGCCCTCTGTTGGCATTTCACTCTTTCCTTATGACTAGGAGAAGAAAAAAAACCAAGAGAAAAAAAAATGACTTTAAAAAAAAATTACTTCTCTGTTCTCCTGTCGAGGTCCCGGGTTTCGGCACCAGTTATGCGTCGGCGGACTCTAACAATAAAAAAAAAGAAAGGAAAGGGCTTGAAATGCAACACTCACGGTTTCAGAAAAGATACTGATTTATTCCTTTAGTAATCCTCCTTATATACATTTCATATGTTTATTTACATTCAGGACGGTATTAAGGCTGATATCGCCGGTCTCCGGTCTTTATCTTATATATATATATATATATATATATATATATATATATATATATATATATATATATACATCAAAACTAAAAATTGTAACAAGTTGGCTATATTTTAAAGTTCATAATCATTGTAGAGTAGCTCAAGGAGTAAGGTACTGTCTCCTGTTCTCACCGTCTCAAAGTTCGAGTGCGGGCGGCTTTGGTAGGATATTATATGTGTGTTCTGTTATTTCAACTGTAAATCGACCTTGGGGTCGACAGACCCTCTTAGGGCACACAAACGTTCAAGTGGACGCTTGCAATCAATTAGTGAATTAAAGGGGAAAAACATCGCGGTTGAGTATGTTCTCAGCTTTATCATTTCTATCACATTCGTTTACGAAAAAACAGCTCTTCTTTTTTTACAAAGTAATGAACCCCAGATTCATAACTTGTAGTAGTCGTTTTTTTTTCTTTTGTTATTATTTTAGAAACATCTTCTACTATTATTAGACTCCATTAAATAATTGCAATATTATTATAATATTAAATTCATGTCAAACAAATTAGCAAAGAAAAAATCACCGGAAATCATGCAATTTATATAGTGAAAAAATATTAGTTGCTTCGGAATAATTCAAGAAACAGGAGACCATATTTTATAAAACTTATTTCAAATAAAAATTTTATATATTTTTAAAATGTTCCTGATTGTTTATGTAAATTAATGTTTTTTTGTTTTTTATTTTAGTCTGTTTTGATTATTGGAGAGTGGGAGACATACTACAAAATTCTAGGAAACAAAAGAAAAGAAACCTTGTTTTTTTTTTTGTTTTTTTTTTTAAAGAACCACTGTTTATCATCCATTAGAGATGTTGGAAAATGTTAAATATCGATATATTTTTGGCGGACGTTGTAACTTATTTACATGAAAATATGAGTATCGAGGCTTATACTTAAAAAATATATATAAAAAAGAATTAAAAAAAAAAGAACAAATATCAACGAGTGTCGCCTCACTGGTTATTATATAAAAATTAGATTATTATAAAGATTACACAATATCTAAGAAAAATTCGTATTTTTTTTTTGGTTTATAATTAAAATGTAAATTCGTTTTATGTGTGATTAGGTCATTATTATTATTTATGTAAATAATAAATAATAAGGTCATTATTAATTAACCTTGATTTTCTTATTCTTTTTTTTTTGTACATATTTAATATCTGTCAGCGTTATTTTATTATTATGTTCTTATTATCAACCCTATGTGTTTATATTGTTAATTCTTATAAAATAGTCTTATGTTACGAGAAAGTTTCAAAACTAAGGTTATTTCCCTGACACACCTACTAGAAAACTATTTGTAAATTTCAACAGGAATTAGACAATAAAGATTACGGAGCCATTAGCTGTATGATCCACTGGTGGTTCATTAAAAGTACAAACTAACATTTTATGACCAAGAATTGAATCCAAATTATAATTTCTACATAAAGACTTTTTATAGTACTTATATTTTACGAAATGAACTGCAGTATTTACGAATATGTACATAATACAGACGAACGAACATTGTATAACATTATACAGTATAAAATGTTGTTTTTCTCTATGTTGACTATTCTCATAATAAATTATTCAGGAAATTCTCTGAATATGAGTTAAAAGATTTCAGCAATTATAGTAATCTAAATAAACATAAAAATATTCAATTTTATAAACTGATAACGGTATATAAATATCCTTTACTTTTCATCGCAAAAAGCTAAAAGCATAATAACTGAGGCAAACTACTTTAAATCATAGCAAAAACAAACACCACTCAAGTTTTGAAGTGGTTTCACATTCAAATAAGTATTAAATATTTAATGATCAACAATACCAGGAGCAAATAACAAATATATTATAGATATCACAACTAACAATATTTATTTGACGCGATATCACCACTTGGAGCTCATTGATAAATGACGTAGTCTCTGTGATTTACCGAAGATAGTAATTTCTTTTGAGTACGTGAAATATTTCACAACGTTAAAATTATTCGATCAATGATTTTTATTAATTATTTAAGATTATATCCATGCATTAATTTTCGGTAAATCTTTGTTTATTATTTATTATCTTTATTTATATTATATTATATATATATATATATATATATATATATATATATATATATATATATATATATATAATATTGTAAACATTAAACTGAAACTAAAGAGATATACATATGATAAACAAGAATAGATCCTTAGAAAATCATCCATAAATTATGCTAGGTAAAATGTTGTCACGGAGAATTAAAATGTCTTTATATAGAAATTTAAATGTCTACAAACATAATTAACAATGTCCTCTAAAAACAATATCAATTCTTTATTATTTTGAAAAGAATAAATTTCCATACCTGATATGAATAAAAATTACTTTAAATTTTAGGGAATTTTTCGTAGTATCTTTTTGTAGAAATCATTATTTTTTTCTTAAACTTTATCTGTTCCTTCACTCGTTCCACAGATAAGAGTGACAATTAGCAAATGTGATATTAAAGAGATAGTTAATATAGCATGAAATAGTTATGACAGCTAAGCATTGAGAAGGTAAGTTACCCATTAACACTTCTTCCCATCTTCATTTAATCCCTTAATTCAGGAAGAAAAATCATGCAATTCCTTTTTAGTGCCTCGTAATAGGCATGTCAGCCCTATTCATATCGTTTATCATTCTCTTATAATGGACTAGAGGTTTATTATAAAAATGGAACGTAGATTATGCGTTAGCCGGTCCATAGTTTAATGTCTTAAGTTGATTTGTAGTTTACTCATATAAGCACCAAGGAGCGTTTATTATCGAGTTGTATGACCTTATGGATTTTAAATAAATGTTTCAGAGCAGTGTAAAGAACTTAAAAGGACGATTTGTGACAGTTTTAATGGAAAGTAAGTAAACATGAAAATAAAAGTATTTTATTGACAATTCGATAGAATCATTCTTTACACAGATGTAGTATATAGAAAAGTAATAACTATTCATATTAATTTCAATTAAATAATTAAAACTCCTATATTTATTATACATACTCTATAAAATATTACTTTTTATTTAATCTCAGAGTCAATACTTACAATTTTAAAACTTTAATACATTATTTAAAAATCATTATTTTTTAACTTTTAGGCTGCAAAAGCCATTTTCAAAAATTCTTTTTCTTTTTTAAAAAACAAAACAAGAAACATTTTTATTATTTAGTTATAATAATAAAAATTTTTGGGCTTCAGGTTGATTATAAAAATGAAACATATATTATGCATTAGTCAACATTAAAATAATATTATTATTAAAATTGTTTTCCTTAAAATATATCCATATATAGAATACTACTTTATGGTAATACTTATTATTAAATGCTTTGTTTTTATTTTCCTCCTTCTTCCACAAATCTTACCCTCCTTTCTTCATTTTATCAAAATGAAATTTAATTTCTTTTCTCTCTATTATCCTCATTTTAACTTTCCCGTGCTGTATTCTAGACTGCATTTCTATATTTATTTTTTCTACTCAATGGTGAAACAACCTGTAATTTACAGTTTCGGCAGCTAGAAGAGAGGGTTTATTAAGACTCTCTCTTTTCATTATGACGTGTCGTAAATGATTAAATTTATTTTTTAAATTAGGGTAAATTAAGAAGATTAGAGAAAAATTCTTAGAGGATAAAAATTGGCTCATCTAATCAAGTTTCACCCTTTATTAAATCCAGTTGGGTTTTTTGTTATCTATTTACATCCAAATCCTATTCAAACCTAAGAATAATCTTATCAACGATAATCTAATGTCAAGAGTTGGAAATTAATAGAATAAAACAATAATAATAATAATAATAAAGTCAGATTTACTATCTTCTAAAGAGTAACAATCTTAAAATGAACGAGTCTATTTCTTAAATTAAAAATTGAAAATAATGACTTATAACAGGTTAAAAATAAAAATAATTAGGGAAAAAATGCTATGTGAAACACAATAGGAAGGATATCAACCAGTAGAAACCAAAACAAAAATTCAGGATTCGCATTTAGCTATGCTGAGTTTTTGAGAGTAATTTTTTGTTATTTATATAAATGAAGAAGTGGCAATAATTTAAAAAGAGGGGCGGCTGATTTTAGGCTGTAGGAATCAGTCAATATTTTATAACTAGTATAGCACTGATTACTAATACAATATCATTATTATTATTTTCACATAAGAAAAAAATCACTGAAAATAAGAAAGAATAGACCTCTGCCTTCACAATTTCGCTGTTTAATTTTATTTTAAATAACAAAGTAATTTTTTAACCTAAAAGTTTCCAATAAGAAAAATATGTATTTAACAACATCAGATATAATAATAACATTAAAAGTGACTAATTTAACCTTGTATATTTCTGATAAGATGATTTTAATGAGTGATTTTCACAAAGATAATTTTGATACTTGTTATATAAAATGTGTTTAACCAACATACCTCGTTTTTGATAGCTGTGATGAGCGAAGAAATCCTATGAAGAAAATCACTGAACGGTACCTTTCCTACCTGCATCCTTGCAACAACTAAACCATCCAGGGTTACTCAAGAAGATGGGAATCACAGAACATCAGGTTACAAGAGATATCTCGTCAACTCGTAGTCATGGGATATCGAACTGTTTATCACAGTGAATTGTTTACTGAATTATCTTTTTAATATTTTTTTATCTTTATAATCATTATTGACGCTTACGACACTAATTTACATTATATATGGTTCATTTGAATTTAATATTTTTTTAAACAGACGAAAACCATTAAAACCTATTGGACGATTATTCCACATTGTTATATCAAGCCCTAAAATGGCGACTTTAAATTTCAAACGTAATTACAAAAGGAACATTTAAAATAATAGTATTTTCTTGTTTTTATAGGATACAACAAAAATTAATAGGAGTTATTCGTTTGTCGAATCAAATTGTCTTGATTTAAAATAGTAGTTTTATGTATATATACAAAAATTTCTTTAATTACTTTTATATTTATATTTCAATTATTGTAACTGGTGGAATGACAATTCATTAAGCAATGACATCTTTCTTACAAGGAGAGATTACGGACTTTGTGTCACCGATTTGAATGAAACATTTTTTGGTAATACTCGGTAGAATAATATTTATTCCAGATAAGAAAAAAATTAAAGAGCCGAGTCGAAATTTTGTATCTTATTTCAGGCAATTTTTTGTCGTCCAACCATAAAGCTCTGACTAAGAGGTGGGTGAGTAATACATTTTCTGCTCCAAGCAATATTTTAGTAATTTATTTAAAAACGCTTTAATAAACTTAAGTAATATCTATATTATATTTATTGTGTTAAAATAATTTTTTATGTTATATTTTAAGTTGTTATTTTGGTTAGTTGTTTCTACTTGCTTATATACATGTAGTTTCAATTATATTATACTGCTGTACAAATAAGTTCTAATATATATGTATATATATATTTGTATATATAATATTACTACCAGACCCCTGTGAATACTCCGCACAAAGATTATATTTGTATCAGATATAAATACATTAAGGACATAATATTGTACAATAAGAACTCAGCAGAACTTCCATTAAATAATGTTTGATACCCAATGGTTTAACACATATTTTTAGTTAACTATAACTTTATGAATATGATCTACATAATGGTCTTTGTGAAAAGACCATTTTTTAGAGTTACAAAAAATATTCTTAGATTGCTATGAAAATTATCGGTGTTTTTTTTTTCGTGATATGAAATACTAATCTCAGCTTGGGTGCTCCTTAAAAAAATATTTGAACCCACTTTGCTCCCGGGGTCGGTACAAATTGTTCCATTTCACCATTATGCTCATATCATAGCTTTATATAAATTTAGCCAAATATAAATTTGAAGTAATAGGGCACTCCTAAGTAACATAAACCATAAAAAAGAATAAAAAAAACTTTTAAAAATCTGCAATGAAAATATGTTAACAGACAGTTATCGATTAGGATGATTTTTTAAAAATTTGTTTAGGTATTTCACTAAGCTTTCAGTCATATCGCCGATACAATTGCAAACAATTGAATATGAAAAAAATTTTCAATCCTACATTCTAGGGATTGTAATTAAATATTTTCAAACAGCTATCAGATTGTATGTCTGTGTTATTTAATTCACTTATATTTAAGGTTTTTTATTTTTTGCTTTCGTTTATTTCATGTTTTCTGTATATAATGTGTGAATTTGTTCTCATCTCATTACAATTACTGACCCTGTGACAGAAGGTTATATTACTGGATAAAAAAAACAACTGTGATTACAAAATCTTTAAACATTCATAAAACCAGGTATTAGTGTGGAAATAAAAATATATGGGTTGTTTGGGATGAATTGATAATGATATTAGAGAGCTGACTTTCAGATTCGATAATCTGTCACTGTATCGACGATATGTGTTATGAACTAAAAATTGTGTACTTTTCAAGTTACTTGTAAATAATAAATTAATCGTAACTTCTCGAATTGTTGACTTTGCACCATCACATAGTTTGAAACGTTCCACTTTTGAATTCACTTTTATTTAAGTCGGAGTATAAAATTAATAATCAAAATGACGATTCGCGCATTCTACGTGATATTTCCTTTTTACTGAAGCCTCATTCGTCAAAATCCATCACTCCTGAGAGTCGGAGAAGGGATATATGTACATAAATAATATATCATAAGAATGGAGATACGTAATAAAGTGATGCATGAAATAATCCTATATGTTTGGTGTTCAATACCCCTATCCCCTTCCATGCATTATATTTTGTTATCATGTTACATCGACCTTCGCCATCCCAATATTCCTTAAGTGCCGATCCCTATGTATTAAACTATTATCAACATTCAATTTACATTATTCTGCCAATTCAAAACGAAAGCGTTTCAAAATGGCCACCGTTGAAAGGGAGATCCAAGTACTTAAAATTGCTATTATTTGAAGGTGGTTTGTATCAAACCAAATAGAACAACATCAAACTGAATCCTCTCTCTTCCCTCTTACACCGTCAATGGTACTATTGTTTGCCCGGAGTTGGAACGAGACGACCCATGACGAGCTGATGAAATTTAAAAAATATGTTTTTTTCACCCAATAGTGAACTTTTGTAAATACCAAAGAAGAGCTATTCCTATGAAGTTAATTACTAATTAACGATAACTGTTGTGTGGTGCATTCTATTAGCTTCAATTTGACATCTCTAATTGAGCTCTTCACGTTCAATATTTCTCGAAAAATGGTCTTAAATACGTGGAATTACTATTTTACATTTATATTTTTCCAACAATCATGGAAAATTGTATTCCAACGAACATAAATATTAGGAAATAATTAGTGGTATGTAGTTCTTTATAACAGCTTAAAAGTTTAAACTTTAACAGTGAGTATTATAAGAGTTCAATAGCATATTAAAAAAAAATCTCTTTTACCATTTTTATTTCATTATTATTATTACTACTTGTTAGCAAGAAAAATCATTTGTATCTATCTAGAATAGGTGCCGACACTGGGTGAGGAATGCGTTCAGCCCTGCCCTCCAATATTTTCTTTTACTTGAAATAAGTCACAAAAAGTTCAGTAAAACGTAGACCTTTTTTTATCCTAGGTCAATTACTACGGTTCATCCAAAGTTATAAATCTGTACAAAATACAATCAAATCTTTACTAAAAATGGTGTGATTTCGATGGTTTGTGATTTTTTTCATTTTATAGGAAATGGGCAGGCATTGACTCAACAAGTGAGCCATAACGCCACCTAATAATAACAATAATGTTTTTGATGTAGACCTCTTCTTTTTTTTTGTTTGTCTATAAAATATGTATTTGCGCCTGTCAACTTATTGTTAACAATCAGCAAATGCGATGGCGATACACGATATAATGAAATGACAGGCATGGGGAAGGAAAGTACTCAGCTGCACCTCTTCCCTAACTTGTTCCAATTAATTAGGTTGTCTAAGGAAGGAGATCCCTCATAAAACGCCTTTTTAGTCTCCTCCTCATGTTCTGAGGTATGTCAGCTGTGGCCACGTCTCTTATAAGTCTGTTATTATGTCCATTTAAATTTGTGTAAGATCGTTGATAAAGGGTCGTTATATGTTGGTCAACTGTTGGAAAGTGGAAGTCAGTATGCAGAGTTTTGTTAGTCACGTACCAAGGTACTTTTCTTATGAGTCGCAATAATTTTGATTGGAACGTTTGAAGTTTTTGTAGGTGGGTCTTTTTAGCGATGCCGTATATTTGTGATGAGTGTGTCCATATGGGCTTAAGCAAGTATGTATAGGTATTCAGTTTCTGTTTTAGTTTTAGTTTTAGTTTTGAAGATTTAGAAAAAAGAGAGCAAAGTATTTTGAGTCGTTTGCTCAGTCTCTTACGTTTCATTTTAACATGCGGACCCCATGTCATCCTTCTGAGTCCAAGGTAAAGTACCGTATCCGTTTGAGGAATTTGATTGTTGTCAAAATAAACTAGAGGGCAGGTGTTTTTTCGAAGAGTAAATGTTGTACGTTTGAATTTCTCATGACTAATTCGAATTTTCCATAGTGTGAACCAATCTTGCAATTTAAGTAAGTGATGTTGTAGTGTTAGTGAGGTCTTTGGGAGAATCGTTGTGTCGTCTGCATAACTAGCTGTCAAGATCTCATCGTTAATAGGTATATCGTACGTGTATATAACGTAAAGTAGAAGGGCTAGTATTGAAACTTGGGGAACTCCTGCCAAGATTGGACGAGCTCAAGATATTTCCGAGCCCTGCCGAACTGAAAAAAATCTGTCGAAGAGGAAAGATTGAAGGATAAGATAGTACGAGTATGGAAGTATAGTCTTAAGTTTAAAGAGAAGACCTTGGTGCCAGATTCTCTATGTAATTGATGTGCCGTCGAATGGAATATGCGAAAGCCGAATTGGTGGTCAGGTATTACCTGTTAGTCAGTCAATATGTCAACAAGTCTTTTGAATATTAATTTTTCAAAAACTTTAGAGCATATAAAAAGGAAGCTAAAGGGTCTGAAGGATGGAGGACTGTATATGTCTTTACCAAGTTTGTGGATCATCTTTTTAAAACGTTATTAATATCAGGCTAAAACTTTGTGAAGGACTTATCGTAACATACAAATTTTTTATCTAAAAAAATTCTTAGAAATTAATTAAATAAATTAATTGATTGGGGTACTAAAAAATCATAAATACCTATTTGCTTCTCACTTGAATCGTAAGTTAATTCGATCACGAAATCGAAAAACAAAAGTAGCCTACAAAAATATTGGGCCGTTTGGTCTGTATAACCTAATTGTTTCGACATGTTGGGTGGAGGTCACGCCAAACGGCCCAATATGTTTGTAGGCAACGTTATTTCTTGATTTTCTGAGAGTTTGAGAATTTCCCTCCTTAAAAAAAAATGTAGGCTTCAATGATATGAAGTTATTCATGATGTTTCAGGCGGATGTCAATAATTTGATAATGGCCATGGACTATAATGGCTCGATCGTATCTATTTATTAGATAGGTGAGATAAAGCTTTATATACTTTTAATTGTATATATGTAATTAAATACATATATATATATATATATATATATATATATATATATATATATATATATATATATATATATATACATTTTCAGCA